GAGAGAGAGAGAGAGAGAGAGAGAGAGAGAGAGAGAGAGAGAGAGAGGGTTTTATTAAGAACATAACTGGCAGTCAATTGTTTGCAAAAATGAAAAAGTGATAAAATATTACAATTCATAAAAAAACAATATGTTTCATGTTTACAATAATTATTACTAAATAATTATGAAAATATTTTCACAGCATTTGATTTATTAATACTGTTTGGAAATAAAAGAGAAAACTACAAGAAAATTGAATTATAAAACAAATTAATCTTTTATTATGACATTAGGATATGTTATATACAATATAATAATAATTACATTTCTTAATGCTTTAACACCTGAAGAAAAGTGTCAAAATTAAAAGGCTTTGAGACTTAAAGTTTCCTTTGAGTCAAATCCCCATTCAATTGATTGTTTTAAATTGCTGTGAATTATACTTTAAAGCCTTTAATTGGGCATTAGGTCCACGTCTGGAGTTATGAATGCGATAATTTGGTTGCAATTTATTTCTTAATCCATAATTCAAATTACTTTTCGGACGTCTCCTTAATTTTGCGTAAGATTTGTTGTTATTATGTTTTTCATTCAAATTCTTGTTCTCCTTATATGTCCGCCAATTGATTGGATCGTAAATAAGGCCAGAATTGGGTCCAAACTTAAACTTATAATAGGGATCATAATTGGGATCATAGTTTGTGTGGCCTTTTATGCCATAACTTTGGCCAAACACACCGAAAGAGTACTCCGGCCTATCGGCCAGACCTTTGGTATTGAGGCCGTAATCAGAATACTTTTGATCATTTGATGAACGATAAGCACCGGAACAATAGGTCGAGTAAAATGCAAATAATGTTAGAAACTATTCTCGTTTCCAATAAGTGTTTTTGCGGAAAAAAATTGGGTGAAAATTGAAGGGGAATTGCAATACAAACATAAGTGGATAGCAATAAAAGAAAAAGTATTACAAACAATTGAAATTAATATAATTTAAATAAATTAAATTAAAACAATACTTACGACTAGTATTACTTGTATTGAAAACATAAGTGATATTTATATTATTATTAAAAGTGAATGTTAAAAAAATTATAACTGCGAAAAATATATGTCAATCTTATTGTGAAGATGTGCTGCAAATGAGTGAAAATATATTATTTTAAAACATTTTTCTATCATTTTTTGGGGAATTGGGTCTAATTTTTTAAATTTAAATTTTGTGTTAATTTTTATTTGTGTGGTTGCGTTGAGTTGATGAAGAAGTAATGCTTTATTAGGTCTCTGTCCACATATTTGCTGATATTTTTAGAAATATTGTCAAAAATAAAGTTTATATAATTATTTACAATAAATTACTGATAAGAGAGTGAAACAAAACTTGTATTTTTAAGTCCATTTGATAACAAGTCATCATATCTTATGAAACGTTCATTTTTATTGCACACCTTTTCGTACGATCTTTAAAACTAAAGCAAATAGTTTTCAAAACTGATAAAATGCTATATAAATAGATTTTAACCATAATTAAAGTATTAATAAATCTTCAACATATACTGAGTTTACAATATATGTTTATTGCGAAAGTAAAAGGTGATAAGTATTCATCATTGAATGAGCATTGGTCATTATAATAACATTGATTACTTTGGTATACTTTGGTATACTTATCACCTATTACTTTCGATTTACACATATCATAAATTTTACTAATTTTATGCACATACAGAGTAAGTTATTGTCAAGTGTACCAATATTCATCATTTTATAAAAGTATTATACCAGTATGTTATATTTTTAATTAATTATCACTCTTATCATAATCAAACCCAGTTTTAAAGCTCATATTTTTTACTTTTTTTTACTATGATTAATAAATTGTTATAAAAAATTAACATTTTATATGTCTTTATACTTATAAACAAAATACTACACTTTCAAGTATATTTGGTAACTATTTTTATTAATAAGATTAATTAAGAATATATATAATTTACATTACCAGTAAGTCAAACAAAACTCAAAACGGCAAACATGGTACTTTAAATTATTTAAATCATTTCCTAAATACATCTTCAGGAATGCAAATCCGGGGCTCGTTTTCAAACACTGGAAGTGTTGACAAAACTAATGGCACGGTTTGACCCAAAAACATGGCTTTGTCGGTGTGATCGGACACAACGTGTCGGGTTAACGGGTGGACCAGTACTGAAAGGTTGCCGTGATTTTGCACAAACCACGACAGGGCGGATGTCATCGATGTCTTATTACAACATGTAATAAAATTGCCGACCGGGTGGGGCCCCCGGGGCTGAGCATATATTTGGCTGGTTATACACTCGTTGAGTAAACCGTTTGCTATATTTGTTTCAATTCTATTTCTATGGAGAGTAAGAGTTATTACAATATAATAAATGGTAAAAAGTAGTCAAAAATGTTATACCGGAGTCTCTCGGCGTGACCACTACTTTGCACATTGTTTTGATAGAAATACGTGTGAAAGTGATAACCATTGATGTCTTCTTCACTCCAATCGTCTTCCGTTGTGTTCATTTCAGAGGAACAGCTCTTTTCATACAAAACAAA